TCCACGTCCTGCAGAGGGGTGGTGGAAGGCTCTCACTCCTCCACCCTGTGTCCCAGCAGGTAGAAGGGAAAGCAGGGACAGGGACTGCGAGGTTGGAGGCAAGCACAAGCGGATCCGGTTACAGGCAGCACGGGGCAGAGAGATAGGCAGAGAACAGCAATGCAGCAAAAAGGGCTTTTAGTGATAATAAATAATTAACATTTCTAATGATGTCCCGGCGACAGGAAGAGTCCAAGCAGGGACCCGAGGGCACTGTGCACGGTGACAGGAGAGGCCGGGACTATGCGAGGTCCAGGGAGGCTGTGCAAAGACAGGGGCTAGGCTGGGAGAGAGCTGCAGGACTAGGGATCCCAGGGCAGGGGCTGGGCACCCCTAGAGACCCCCTGGGTGAGCAGTGGCTGGGATCCAGCATTCACACCATGCTGTTGCCAAGGACGCGGGAAACCTGTGAGGAAGAGGACTGGAGGACTAGATTAACCAAACTTGGGGGTTAACCTGACTTCTGTGATGGTAATGCCTGCCCAGGGTTTGCCATGCCCAGCGAGCACCTGAAAGTGCTGGCTGGAGGAGGGGCCTGGGGAAGGGTGCTGGGAGGCAAAAGCTCACAAGGAGCCACTGGGATGAGTGAGAGTCGCCAGGTCACTGCCAGCCATGGCACAAAGAGACCCCCACGCTGAGAGGTGTCCAGGGGACACAGAAATAGTGCAATGGTCTGGGATGCAGGACCAGAGAGAGAGGATGTCTGTGGGCAAGACAGGAGATCAGACACTGTGGGACAATGACAGAGAAGGGACAGCAGGGAGAAGAGGGATCAACCAAGCAGCCATCTGAGCATGGGAGTCCATCACTGTGAGCCACCACACAACGGGTATGCGGAATGGGAGACGCAAAAGCAATCCTAGGAGGAACCACGAAGGCATTTATGGCAAGACTGGGCACTTGCTTTCATGCCTGCATGGGGCCCAAGGGACCTGCCTGTGCTGGAGTCAGCTTGGAAGAGGATCAGAAGTATCATGGGGCTGCCAAGGAGGCAGAGCCCAGGAGACCCATGAAGGGAGGACAGCGACTCATGCCCAGCACTGTGCAGGCTGTGGGGAAATGGAGTGCTCACTATAAATACATCAGCAGGGTAAACACCAGGGAGGAGGAGAGCTATTTCAGCTAAAAGACAACATTAGCACAGGAATAACTGGGGATAAATTATCCATGAATACATTTACAGTGGAAATTAGACCCTCGGAGCAGGGATGTCCCAGCACAGCCCCTCCAGAGAAAAAAGCAGTGCCAGGCAAGAGACAGGATCGGCTTGGCAGCTGAGGGATCCCGCAGCGCATTGTGGTGGCAGCATGTGCCATCTCCTTGTGTTAAAAAACAGCAGGGGTATATGATGGGATGAATGCACATCACTGCATGCACATGTGAGTATAGGTGTGTGTGTGTGTGTGCATGGTCTGCAGGCACGTTTGGGTGGCACCCTGAGTGCTCACACAAGTAGATGGGGTGGCTGCACACAGACTGTTCTGTGTGTGCGTGTAGGTGTTTGCAAGTGTTCTGGCAGTGTGTCTGTGTGTGCTGTGCACCCACCAGGCTGTGTGCAGGTGTCTGGCCCTCATAATGCTCTAGAAAGGGGAATGACGGCTCCAATGAAGTATCCTGGAGTTTAGTGCCTTCAGTCAGCATTCCTGTGCTCACCTGCACCCTGTTTGATTGCACCATCTGGAATTTGCCGGAGAGGACATTTGCTGGGTAAGTGCTCTATGAATCCAACTGATCCTGGGCGGATTCCTATCACTGATCCTGGGAGGATTCCTATCTTGCTTCCAGAGCAGTACTGTCCCTGCAAGAGCCATGGGGGTCACCTGCACTGCCGCCACACAGGCTTACTCTGCTTGGCAGTGCCAGTTAACAGCCCTGTGCCACCCCTCTGCCCATTGTAATGCAAGCAAGGGGAAGATTGCTCCCCACCTTCCTGCTGCCTTCTCCCCAGGGAGAGCCTGGGGTGGCAGATGAGCCACCAGGAAGAGGGTCACCAGGCATTAGGGCTGCTAGCTTTGAGAGGGCCCCCATTCCCTGGGAGCTGGGTTGGCACGGATGAGGCCCCAGGAGCAAGGGCCAGGAGAAGCTGGGACATATTAGTCCTGGGGATGGGAAAGGGGGGCCCCAGATGTGGAAAGAGCTGGCTAGTACTCATGCTGGCCCCAGCTCAGCAGAAGAGCCTCCCCTCGCCTTTGTGCATCTCTCGCTGGAGTGCAGCATCTCCCTTCCCCCCGCAGCGTGTCTGGCTGCTGCTCGCTCTAATTTCCTGTGCATTGTCCCCATCACCGTGCCACCACTCCCTGCACATCCCACCCCCCTCCGTGCACCACACTGCCAGGCTCCCTATGCCCCAGCGCCTGCGCCCTACCTCATTGCTCTGCAAATGTCCCTGCGAATGTTCTCATGCATCCCAGCTCGTTTCACTGATGCTCTGTGCCTCCCTCTGCAGCCCCTTGCAGAGAGCTGTGTCCCACCCCAAGATGTTTGCCCCTTATGCCCCCAATGTGAATGTAACCAGAGGGGTGGGAAGGAGGCATCTAGGCCAGCAAAGGGCCCGGGGACTGGTGCAAGGCTGTTTCTTATGGCCATGGCTGCTGTTATGCCAAGGTGCCTGCTGGCTGCTCTTCTCCCCCAAAGAAATATCCTAGGCTGCCAAGGTGGGAAAGGGAAAGGCACGGAATGGGAAAGGCACGGAGGAGCTCCAAAAGCAGGTATTGGGGAACACCTTGCAGTCCTATGAGTGGAAACCACTCCACTGGGTGCCAGTTGCAGTGGCTGGGGGGCTGCAGCGTGCAAGGCCCTCTCGGCACACGTGTGCTGCTGGCGCACAGCAGGCGTGCGCTCACGGGGTGCCGTGGGGTGAGCACATCCCTGCGGACGCGGCGTGTGCACCTGCATGCGCGCACAGCCCCGTGTGCCCAGCTGTGCCCATCATGCAAACGCCGATGCACACGCACGGCTGTGCAGCTGCACGTGCACACCGTGCTGGCACACCGCAGCCCTGCCTGCATGTGCATGTGCTCGTGGCCAGAGCCAAGCCTCGCTGTGCTGGCATGCTGGGTTTAGAGCCCCAGGGAGCCAGTGTGCCCAGTGCCATTCACAGTCTTGGCATGCTTGAGCTGGCTTCCTGCCGGCGTGTATGTTTTCTGTACCTGCCAGTCACGGGGAGGGCATTGGGAGCCAGCTTGCAGTTTGTACAAATAATTATCCGGGTGGTAACCAAACCTGGGATGAGCAAGCAACTCAGCAGCAGGGATGCTCGCCCTGAGCACACATGCACTCATGCAAGGTGGCAGCCAGGCACTGGGGCTGTGGACACTGGCAGGCAGAGCATATCTGCTGCGCTGGAGTGCACGGGTGCGCACCAGCACGGCATTGCACATGAGTGGCGGTCACACTGACATCACAGTCTGGTGGGTTTGCTTGGCATCGTGGCTCACCATGACAAATGCAGAGAGCAGGTGTGGTTCCTGCCCCACGGCAGTGCCCTATAGCAGGTTCCCTGGGCCTGGATACCAACATTCTGGCTGTGAGGACCCTGCAGCCAGCAGCCATGCAGCAAGCCCGGTGCTCAGCCAGGCACCCTGCAAGAGGAAGTCATCAGAAATGAAATAAAGGGATATTTGATGGCTGTATGGAAGCACCTTTGTGCGAAACAATCACTGGTACTGGAGAGCTCTCAAATCTAGCAGGGAGAGATGAACCAGGAGCAACAGGCAGAAGCTATAGCCAGACATGTTCAATGAGAAATAAGGGCTTTAGCAGAGGAGGTGATTAGCCACTTGAAGCAGCCCGAGTGGCATGAGTTTCTGTAGTTCCTGCTGTCTTCCAACATATCTCTCCTGCTGTCTCTCACAGTGGCCACAGCCTCAGACTCTGTGCTGGGGCACCTGTGAATGTGCTACACTGGGGTGATCTGGTAGCCTTGTCAATGCTGTCCCAGTCCCTTCCACAGCGACTTTGTGCTGCCAGACACATACAGAGAGCTCTGTGCTCAGGCTTGCATAAATGCGATCCTGCCTTAGGCATCCACTGGCTACAAGATTTTGGGCAAGTCAGTGCCTTGCATGACATAAGGTGGAGCCTTTCTTGGAGTTCGGACTGGCTGCCAGGGTACAGCCACTCCAGGGTCCCTGCAGAGAGAGGTGGTGACTGTGCAGGGTGATGACACAGGCAGGTGCTGACCCTTCGGGGTGTGGCTTAGATTCATAGAACAATAGATTGGTTTGGGATGGAAGGGATCTTAAAAATCATCTCGTTCCAATCCCCCTGCCATGGGCAGGGATGTTGCCTACTAGATCAGGTCACCCAGGGCTCCATCCAGCCTGGCCTTGAACACTTGGAGGGATGGGGCACCCAAAACTTCTCTGATCAACCTGTTCCTGTGTCTCACCGTTGTCACTGTAATTTCCTTCTAACATCTAACCTAGATCTCCTCTCTTTTAGTTTAAAACCGTTCTCCCTTGCCCTTCCAAGGAAATAGTGTTGCACCAGCTCCGTTCTCTTTCCTCCTCCTGTGCCCGAGCCTCGCCGCCCCCAGGCCGGGTCAGCCCCCTGGCTCTGCTCGGTCCATCACACCAGCTGCCCTTGCAGGAGTTGGGGAGCCGTGCCCAGCCATGCCCCGACTGCTCCCCACCCAGCACCCCCGGAGCGACTGCAGCGAGCCGGGACACACTGCCCGCCGTGGCCACGCAGCTCTCTCGGCCGTGGCTCCGGCCTCCCGGGACGCGTACTCCCCCTTCTCCCGGTGCCCGGGCGATGCTCCCGGTGCCACCCGGCAGCAGCGCGGGGCCGGACCCGGCGGCGGGCGGCCCCACCCCGCGCTCCCCATTGGCAGCGGCGCCCCCGCCCCGCTCGCCGCCGCCGCCGCCGCCCGTTCTTAAGGCGCGGCGCGGCCGGAGCGGCCCCGTCGGGAGCCGAAGCGGCGCAGCCGGAGGTGGGAGCGCGGCGAGCGGCGGTGCGGGATGCGCTCCCGCCGCCGTGGGGGCGCCGGGCGGCCCCCCTGGCCCGTGAGTAGCGGTGTGGTTTTGCTGCTCCGCGAAGTTTCCCGGGGACTCCGGGGCGGGGAGGGGCGGCTCTCAACTCCGGCACGGTCACCGGCCCGGGGAGAAGTTGGTGGAGGGCGGACTGGGACCGAGGGCACGTAGCCTGTCCCCGTGGCGTGGAGGGGATGCGGGGTAGTGAGAAGGGAGGGGGTGGGAAGAAGGATGGGATGGGTATGGAAGGATGCTGGGCTGGGAGGACCGTGCTCACGAGGCTGTACAGTGATGGGGGGTGTGTGCTGGGACTGGGGAGCCCTGGCAGGGGCAGCAGGACTGTGAGCAGCGAGGGATAGCCCCTCTTTGTAGCGGTACTTGTGTTTGGTCGTGGCTGAGCCCTGGAGGAGCGGGGGTCACTGGGGAAAGGGGTCCAGCCATGTGCCTGCCTGCGTGGGAAGGGGCTGGCTGTGTGCTGGTGGGCCTGAGCCCCTCAGGGACCTGGTGTCCCTTTGGGGTGAGCTCAGAGGCTAAGGTGACTGCTCATCTCCATACTGCATTAGCTGCTGCTGGCTGAGCCTCAGCCTGCCAGGTCCAGCACTGAGGAGTCCTGCATAGGAGGGACAGGCTCGCAGCAGTGAGCAGACGTAGCATCAGGACCCAGGCTCATGGGCTTTGGCTGGAGCAGAGGCACTGCAGGATCTGGGCTGGGATTGAGGAGCTGTGGAGGGGCACTGCTGGTACTCTGGGCAGCCGAGCTACTGTGGAAGAGGAGTCTGCTGGTTCTGTGGGACATCTCCTGCCTGTCCTCTGCCCTGGCAGGTACAGCTGTGGCACCCTTTGAATGCTAGGAATGAGAATATGATGTTACTGGGGCACGGGCAGCAGGGTGGTGTGAGGTGCTGTGATGTCACCATGTTGTCACCGCTTTGGGGTGCAGTGAGGCCCTCGCTGCATGATGTCAAGAAATGTCGTAGCGGTGCTGGAGGTGACCGTGGCCCAAACCAGGATGTTGCTGCAGTGATGGAGCATGACATCACTGGGGTGTGTGGTGTGGAGGACAGCAATGTCACGGTGACATGTGACATGGAGTGGCCACACAGGGACCTAACACCCACCTTCCCCATGATGTAGACTAGGGGCTGGGGATGTCCATGTGTGTACAATGAGGAGATCTGCGGACAGCATCTCCCCACTTGTGGTAAGAGGTCTGGGGCACAATCACCTGCCTGTCCCATGGTTCCCTTTCCAGTCCTGTTCCACCTTCCCCACTGGGCACTGTTAGTCGTAGCAATGCATGGGCTCAGATGAATCCTACACGCTGCATCTCTGCCATGGGGCCAGCACCCCCCGGGCTACCTGGCTGTACCCTGATGGGTGCCTGTGGCATCCTCCCAGTGCCTCTGCCCCTGCTTGGCACCTTGGCTTCGTGTCACTAGCGATACTGAGGAAGTGCCCTGGGGTGACCTTGCCACCAGATGCCACCACACAAGCCAGGATGTGACTCTGCTGGAACAAGATAAATTGAGGTCTGCCCTGCATATAGGCAGAGCCCCAAAGCCTCAAAGCTCAGGTGAAGCTTCATGCTGGGACTGTGGTTCTATCAAAAGCATTCTGGGAATGAAGAGGCCCTTCTGCATCTGGCATGCAGAGCCTGAGTCTCCCTCCCTTCCCAAAATGGCCTGGCTCTGGGCTGAATGTCCCTTCCTCATGGCACCAAGCACCGGATCCACTGGGAAAAGCCTTTTGTCTCCAATCAGGAACATTGTTTCCCACTGGAAAAGCTCCATCCAACTTGGAGGAATTTCAGCTGCAGCTGGATGAGGTTGTGGGGGGGGGCACCTGAGTAACAGTCCAGGCTCTGAGGAGTGGGAGCCGGAATGGGGAAAGACAGGGAGTCTGGCCAATGGTCTAGGGACAGCCACCCATCATCTGGCTGTGGCTGGGAGTGAGGCAGCACTGCTCTGCAGGGCCAGGGGCTTATGTGGCAGCCCTGCACCCGTATGTCCACAATATCAGTGGCTCTCCCCCATGCTCGTTTTGGTAAACCTGGAGTGGGAGTGTAGTAAAGGCTCCCCCGCCTTCACTGTCTGGCACTGCAGTGTGACACCCAGGGGCTTTCCCATCCCTGAACAACCCAATGTACCCTGTCCCCATCACGTCTTGAATGGGACCCCTGCACCAGAGAAAGATCCAAGCTCCTGCCTCTCAAGAGCTGCTCCAGACATTATGGCAGGGTAATGGGCACAGTAAGAGAGATAGGAGCAGCACAGGGTAAAGCTGAGGATACACACACATCTACCCTTGAAGCTGTGCCCAGGGTAGAGATAGGGTTGAAGAGGAAAGGGGAGAAGACTGGTGCAATGGAATTCAGGGCTCTGAGTGGTGTGGGCAGTAGGGTTAAGGTTTCCTCTGCAGTTGGAGAGCATCCCCTTCCTGCCTAGCCATGTGGGCCTGGAATCTATTTAGTAATGGCAGGGGAATCCTGGCCCCTAGAGAGCCGTGGGACCATTCCCATCCCCCGGGGAGGCAGCAGCAGGCTGTTCTCCACAACCCAGTGGGTCTGCCAGGCTCTAAATCTTGGGCACCTTCCCGTCTTCAAGCTGAGCATATGTGGTACCACACATCTGCCACAGATTCCTTGGCTTGCTGTTGGAGTCCAACAGCACAGGGATCACCTGGCAGTGGGGTCATTAACTCCTGTACAGGGGAACTATTCCTGGTCAGGGAGGGCAGTCCTGCCCAGGAAGGTGGCACAGTCACATGAAGCAATGTCCCCTTGCAGGCCAGCTGCCCCAACCACCCCTCCAGTTTGAAAGAGTGGACTAGGCTGCTTTTTCTCCCAGCTGGAGCGCAGGCATGTGGGATCATGCCCGTAGCCTGGGGAACACACAGCTCTTTTCTGGGCTCTTCCCCTCTGGAGGCAACTGCCTGGCCTGGGATGAGGTGTTGCCCTCCTGAGTGCCTTGTTCATCACCTGTGCTACAGCCAGGTCAGAGCCAGTTCCAAAATCTCTGCAGCCTTGCCAGCAATGCTGGCAGACACTGTCCTCCGCAGTCCAGGTTAAATGAGCCTCTTCTCCCAGTCTTCTGTTCCTCCGAGCATCTTCTCATGCTGCATCCCTGTGCAGAAGCCTTCCCTGGCCAGGCTGGAAAGGAGATCATCCTGCAGAGACGCTGGGAGGAACAGTTCCGAAGGATGGAGGAACCGAGGCGCATGGGAGTAACCTGACAAACTATCCTTGTGTTCTCCCTGTGAACTTCCCCAGCTCTGAAAGACCAATGAGACAGAAGACAAACTCCTCAGGCCAGTGAATGTCTTCTTCCTCTGACCCTGCCAAGGGATCAGTGATTGACATTTTAGCTTACCAGGACCTTGAATGTCAGTGGCACCTTAGAGCAGAGCAAGCTGGGCCTGAGCCCAGCTTTGTCAGCACCCCACAGCCCTCCTGCTGCCTCTCCAGTCCCTCTAATAGGATGGGCTCCCAAGGCTGGGCTGCTGCTCAGCCCCAGCTCACTGGAGTATGATCTTGTCCCAAGGGTGAACAACATCCAGGACATGATGGGGATGCCAGAGTGACAGTGCCCAAAGGTCAAAAGACAGGGAGTGTGATGCAGGCTGGGGTGCTGTGGCAAGAGGTGAAAAGAGAGTGTCTCTCATGCAAGGACAGTGGGGCTGCTTGGGCATCATGGAGCGGAGTCTCCTCCTGGAGCTGATGGGTTGTAGGTCTCTCCCAGGTGTCCAGGATGCTGGCGTTGTGCCTGCTGTCCCTGGCCTGGCTCAGCGAGGGCTCCCAGCGCAGCGAGCCCATGTTTGCAGCCGTCACCCACCGCCTTCTCCCGCCTGACTACGACAGCAATCCCACACAGCTCAACTATGGCGTGGCTGTCACCGACCTGGATGCCGATGGTGACTTCGAGATTGTGGTGGCAGGGTGAGTGGTGCACCTAATGCCTCAGTGACAGCAGGACTCGTGGCCCTGCAAGGACAGGAATTCCTCCCTCCTCTGTGGTCTTGTGGCCAGCTGGGAGAGTTTGTGTACAAAGATGGGTGGGTTGGGGTCTGCGTGCACCCACCAGTGACTGTGTGTGTGTATGTGTGCACCCACACAGGGTGTTGATGCCTGCTAAGTGCCTGTGTAGGACCACGTGAGGGCCCCCATTGCTCCCTTCTCTGTGGGATGGTGGCAGCTGCCCAGCAGCCAGAGTCCACCCTGCAGTGCACAGCCAGCATGTCCCCAAGCCATCTCAGCTCCGCTGACAGGACTCAGCTCTCTCCGGAGATTCAGTTAATTGGCTGGAGGTTTTTTATAGTCCTTTATTGGAGTGATAGCTGGGAAGGGCTGGCAGGAGCTGGGGAGGCAGGGAGCCGTGTGCTGTGCAGCCAGTGCCCAAGTGGGGCTGGACACAGAGCAGCTGCTGCCAGCAGGTCCAGTCCTGGTCAGGAAAAGCAGGGACCATGGTGTAGGCTCTGTGTGTGTCTGCTGGCACTGCTGTGAGCTGCTACTGCAGGGTAGCTGTGTACACACCACTATCCTCACTCCCTAAAAAGGCTTGCACACATAGGTATGCCCACCTGGAGAGTGTTCTTTACTGTCACAGATCCCATCCATCTGGATGGAGGTACTACGGTGGCAGGCAGTCTGTCTGGCCCTGCTGCTGCTCTGAAAATCACCAAGGCAGGAAAACATGGGCAGCACTGGGAACCCTGGAGGGGTCTGGGCCACCACTCCCTGCTGTGCTGAGTCAAGAAGGCAGCTGGAGTTTTGTAAGCAGTCATGGTGCCCATTGTATAACTTGTTTACTGGTGCATTGGGCAGGAGCAGGCAAGAAGCCAGTGGGATGCACCGTGCTGAGAGGATTATTCTTGTGGGCTGGTTTCCTTGCCCTGGGAAAACTCTGCAAGCAGGGACCTGCACCCCATCCTGTACTGCTATCTGCCTGGCCCCCACTGCTTCCCTGGTTTTCCCAGACATGGGGTGCCTGACAGGATCCTTGGCCTCCATGAACCATGCAGGTCTCTGCAGTGCCCATCATGAGGAAAAACCAGTATCACACCTCATTAGGTGATGAGGGATGAGACAGGGGCTTTCATCCCATCCCCAAGCCTTGGGAAGCCAATACCCCTGCTTACACTCACAGGTACAATGGCCCCAACCTGGTGCTCAAGTATGACAAGGCACAGGGGCGGCTGGTGAACGTGGCAGAGGATGAGAGGGGCTCCCCGTACTACGCACTGCGGGACCGGCAGGGCAACGCCATCGGTGTGACAGCCTGTGACATCGACGGCGATGGCCGTGAGGAGATCTACTTCCTCAACACCAACAACGCTTTCTCTGGTGAGCCAAGCTGGCCTGTGAGCCCCAGGCACGGGGGGAGCCCCCGGCATGGCTGCCTGCGACCTTCGGCGTGTGAGGGATGTGTGCGGGCTGGAGTTAATTTCTCAGTTGAGTGGCTCCATTGATTGATGGCAGCACGGGTGGGACACTGAGCCCAGCCAGCCACCGAGTCAGCACTTCCAGCTGCCCATCGCCCTTTTCGTGGCACCCCAAGTGGGATGCAAGATTCCTTCCACCCCCTCGAGTGTCCTGTCACAGGGACCCTGCACTGTAAATCCCAGCTGTGCCCTGCAGCAGTTGTGCCCTTCAGTCTCATGGCTCTCCTCTGCCTGATGCACCAAGCCAAGTCTAATCCTGCCCTTCTAGTGCTATCCCTGCTCCTGGTTTGCCTGTCGTGGGAACAAGACTTACATGCTCCAGGCTGGCACTGGGAATCCCCAGAACTCCCTGGCTTGGTGCTCCAGCCCAGCTCTGCCCTGTGTCCCTGACCTCCAGGCAGCAGATCTGTCTTCCCAGTGCTCCTAATTACCCGGGCTGGCAGTGGCTGCTGGCACACCTGTCCCTAAATCAGGCTCTGCCATTGGTGCTGTCACAAGCAGTGTAGCTCGCTGACTGTGCCTGCCACTGAATCGATTTCTTCTTTTTTTTTTTTTCTTTTTCTTTTATTTTTTTTTTTACACCTTCCTGAGGATGATCTACACGGCTGTGCACCATTGGAACATATTTTAGCTTAATGAGTTGATTCTTCTGTGTGTCTCCCAGTGGCCCTTAAGGGTCATAGGGCTCTTGCAGCAGCCCAGCCCTATGGCACTGTAGGGGCCTGCAGGGACAGCAGATATTTGGGATGCTCTGGAAAAAGGGTACCTTTTCCACAACCGCCCTCGTTGTCAAGCACCCTCCTCAGGAGGAGGCGGGGTGCTGGAGCCCACTGACCTGTGCTCCCTTCCCCAGGCATGGCCACCTACACAGACAAGCTCTTCAAGCTCCGCAATGGGCGCTGGGAGGACATCTTGAGTGACGAGGTGAACCGGGACGTGGCCAGCCGCTTTGCCGGGCGTTCCGTTGCCTGCGTGGACCGGACGGTGAGCAGGCAGGGTTCTGCAGACAGGAGCATCTCTGCCCCCTTTCCACTCCCAGTGCCCCTCCAGTGGAGTCCTGGAGACCCGTTTTCCTTGCCCATCCCATCCCCTGCTTGGGCCAAGGGTGCCCCTCAGCTGCCTGTGTACTGTCAGGGCTAGCAATGCTCCCAGCTGTAGAGACTGTGGATGCTTGTCCACACGGTTGCCACCAGCTGATAAACGTGCCTGTCGAGGTGATTTATGTTCCTGTCACCTGCTCTTTCTTCGTCCTCCTCCTCCAGCAGTTTGTTTCCAAATGATTATCGCTAAATCAGGGTGCAGGAACTGCACGGGACAAAGAGGGCGGTGGAAATGGGGAGGACCTGGCACACTGGGGATGCTGGGAGGGGGAAAACGTGCCCCGTGCCAGCACTGTGACCAGAGAGCTCCTGGAGGCAATGGAGCACATCCCTATTCCTGGGATGCTTTTTGCCGTGGGCTTTGCAGAGCTCTTGCTCAGTGCACAGTAGCAGTGCCTGCTCCCACGGAGCAGTAAGAGCATTCACAGCAGGCATCCTGTGGTCCCCGTGGAGATGAGTTATGGGTGGGTGGGTGCTGAGGCGGTGCTGCCGGCTGCAGGGTTCCGGCAGGTATTCCATCTACATCGCCAACTATGCCAGCGGCAACGTGGGCCCCCATGCCCTGATTGAGATGGATGTGGCTGCCAGTGACCCTGCCCGTGGTGTCGTGGTGCTGGTGGATGTGGCCGCCCAGGCTGGCGTCAGCAAGTACACAGGTACACCCGGCTGCTGTGGCCCTGCGGAGGGGACGGGGCGCTGCGGGGCATGGCGAACGTGAGACTTCGCTGTGGCAGGGCAGTGCAGCCGCAGGTCCGTACCACGCGTTGGGCTGCCTGACTGCCCCATCTAGTGGCAGCCCCACGGCCCTTGGAAGAGAGCAGGACCGTGGGATGCGCGCCTGGCAGGACCCCTGTGCCCACCGTCACCGAGGCTAATCCCTCCAGAGCTCACAGCATCCACAGGGCAGGCAGCGGGGTTCGGAAACGTAGGCGTCGGGGGGAACAAGCCCGCCTGAGCCCCTGCTGCCCCACCACCGTGGGGACTGCTGCGTGCCCCAGCGGTAAATTGTCACTAATTAGGAGTGTTGTCACCATGGCGATGGCAGTGATTAGGGTTGGGAGTGACACAAGAGACTGCCAGGCGCAATTAGCTCCTGATTAGAGGGATTGGAGGTGGGCAAGAATGGGACACTGGTGGGGGGTGCTTGGGAGAACCGTGTGGGCAAGACTGAGGGAACACGGGGAGCACAAACTCGCGAGGAGCAGCTGTCCCCTCACCCGGGCTACTGTCCGCAGGGGGCCGTGGGGTGGCCGTGGGCCCCATCTTGAGTGACAGTGCCTCTGACATATTCTGCGGTAATGAGAACAGCCCAAATTTCCTCTTCCACAACCGGGGAGACGGGACGTACAGGGACGTGGCAGCTGCTGTGGGTGAGTAAGGGAAGCTGGGGGGAACACACAGACGCTGACGACCTCAGGGCAGGGGTGGCTCTGCCTGTCCCTGTCTGCACTGGATGAGTGCGGGGTGGGAGGACGGGGACACACAGCTCTAGGGACCCAGAGCCCCACTGACCACTGTGCAGTGGCTGAGATGCATCGGGACATCTATCGGCACAGGGATGTAACCCTGCGCGTGGAGGACCTGTCTGGGAACGATGGAGCACATCCTAGGAGATGTGCTGGGGACAAGGAGGCAGGGAAGGGTTCCCGTCTCCCCCTGTGCCCTTGCGGTTCCCCAGGGCTGGATGACCCCTACCAGCACGGACGCGGTGTGGCGCTGGCTGACTTCAACCGCGACGGGCGAGTGGACATCGTCTATGGCAACTGGAACGGGCCGCACCGCCTCTACCTGCAGAGCGGAGCTCCTGGGCGTGTGCGATTCCGGGTGAGGGCTGGCAGCCCCCCGCACTGATGGCTCTGCCACAGGGGCTGGCTTCACTCTGAATTCTCTTTGAGCCAGCGAGGAGGGGACCAGAGGCATCAAAGCAGGACCCAGGTGTCCTGCTTCCTGTGCCTATTGCCAGGCTATGCCCATGCAGGACATCGCCACCCCCAAGTTCTCCATGCCGTCCCCCGTCCGCACCGTCATCGCAGCCGACTTCGACAACGACCAGGAGCTGGAGGTTTTCTTCAACAACATCGCTTACCGCGGTTCCTCCGCCAATCGCCTCTTCCGGTAGGAGCCCGGCGGGGCCGGGAGCCTGCACCCTGCTCTGGGAGTCGAGCAGCCCTCACAGCACAGCCAGGCTCACAGGGCTCCTCTCCAGCAGTGCCACGGCTCGGGCTCAGCTCATAAAAGGCATCGTGACTGAGCCCTTCCTGGCATCATTACCAGTCACTGTGATCGTGCCTGCAGCAGCCCCTGGGGTCCCCAGCACCACTGATTAGCAGCCGTGTGGAAGCTTGTTCATGGCTCCTGTTAATTGTGGGGGTCAATTCCTCATTACTTCTGTGTAGCACCTCCTTGCCTAGTGTGTAGGGCGGTGGGAACTGGCTGTCTATCCAGTGCTTGCTCCCGTGGGTGGGTAGAGGACAAGGGTTTTGCAATGAGCCCTTTGGAGACCTTTCCAGGTTCCAGAGGGATGCAACAGATGATGCTGCTACTCTGCAGTTCAGACCCAGAAGCTTTTATGAAACTCCTGTTACCCCTTCATGGAGTGGGGACATGCCAACAGGCAGGGGATAGTCACATCCCTCATCCACACCCTATATCCACCAGGGCTGTCACCCCTACCATGATTCTGCAGGAGGGGACAGACATGCCCAGGAAGGTTCTGAGGACTGCAGGAGCTGGTATTAATACCCTGTGTGTGTCCTCGGCAGGCTCATCCGCAGAGAACACTCAGACCCCATTGTGGAAGAGCTGAATCCAGGGGATGCACTGGAGCCCGAGGGACGGGGCACAGGTGGGTCCACCCCACTCTGGCACAACACTGCCTGGCACTTTCTATAGCTGAGGATGCTGCATGCCTGGCTGAGTTATCTGCCTGCTCCCCACCAGCAGGCTGGGGCTCCCATCGCCCAGGACTGTCCCCATGCTTTCTCCCTCCACCCATACCCAGCCAATGGTGCTATCTCCAGTACCCCTGAGGTGCTCTTGAAGGACCCTTTCCTGGGTGTTCACTGCTAAAAGCCAATCTCTGCATCTGGGAGGAGGTCAGGTAGCTCCCTGTGACGCACAGCCCTCCAGGCACTGCCTGTCCCCTCCACTGCCCCGGTTGTCAACGCACCGGATTACAGAATGCCAACCACACTCCTGCATTATTGTCACCCCATCTTCCCTTTTGTCTCTGTGTGGCCGGGAGTGCTGCTGCTGCCAGTGGAAAGCCACAGCAGAAGCAAAGTCTAGTGCTGCAGACATAGGGCCAGGCCTCAGGCACAACATGATTCTGTCCTTGCAGGAGGTGCAGTGACAGATTTTGATGGTGATGGGATGCTGGACCTCATCCTATCCCATGGCGAGTCCATGGCACAGCCAATCTCCATCTTCAAGGGCACCCAGGTGAGTCAGGAACTCCTCACATTGTACCTATCCCTTCTGTCCCTCCCAGCTCAGTCTCTCTGCTCCCTCCTCCTTTGCAGGGCACCAACAACAACTGGCTGCGTGTCATCCCCCGTACCCGCTTCGGGGCCTTTGCACGGGGGGCCAAGGTTGTGCTGTTCACCCGGCGCAGCGGGGCCCACCTGCGCATCATCGACGGTGGCTCCGGCTATCTCTGCGAGATGGAGCCTGTGGCACACTTCGGACTGGGTGAGCTAGGGGGTCAAGGGGCTGCCTCCATCCTCAGCCTTCCCTGGTATTCCCCAGGGCAGGGGCTGTGTCTGCTGCACCAGTGTCCTGCAGCACAGTAATTGTCCATGCCTGTCACCCCAAGTATGGTAGGGTCTGTGCAAGGCTGTGGGCAGGGTACCCACCCACTGCAGCTGTGCTGCAAGGGGCACCTGCGCCCTTCCCCATCCCCTGCCTGCTGCTTTGCCCAGGCAGTAGGGCTTTCCCTTCCCTTTAACTCTCTCCTGGTGCAGCATGTCCAGCAGCCAAGCCTGCAGGGGTGTCCCTGCCCCACTGCAAGGTCATCCCGTTGTCCCCATGTACGCCCCTCAGAGTACATCCATGTGCATGGGCTGTCAGTGTGGGCACCTGGAGCTGGGCTCAGGGAGCAAGGGAAGACTTTGCCCCTCCCATCCCTACCACCCCGCTGGCCTCCTTTCAGCCCCTGCCCACCCTGGAGACCCTCCCTTTGATGGGCTGCCCACCTGCAGGGCATGACAAAGCCAGCAGCCTGGAGGTGACTTGGCCAGATGGCCGTGTGGTGTCACGAGCTGTGGCGAGCAGTGAGACCAACTCTGTCCTGGAGATCCCCTACCCTCTGGATGTGGAGGAGCCACTCATGCCTGCCCCGCTGGAGGTGAGGGCCACGTGTGGGTGTAGGTTGTGAGACTCTGGGGACAGAAACAAGGGGTTCTGCTGGCTCAGTGGCTGCCCACGGCTGATTCCTCCCCCTTCCGGCGGTCTCTGCTTCTTCCCAAATGCAGTGCGGGCAGGGATTCTCCCAGCACGAGAATGGACGCTGTGTAGGTGAGTGGCTGCTGGAAGCACAGTTGTGCCTGTACCCAGGATGCTGTAGCACAGCCCCATGGGGGACACTCTGAGAGTGGGAGGTGGCTGCCTGCCACATGGCTCAGTGCCAGGTACAGCTGCCTGGCCTGGGAATGGGACAGCAGTACAGCTCCAGAGGGGCACCGTGGTGTCACAGGGAGCAACAAGAGAACTGTGCTGGGGCAGGAGGCATGGCTGGCATGTGGCAGGATTTGTGCTGCGGCCATGAGTGATGGTGGGGCAGCAGAGATGCAGCAGAGTGGCTGTGGCCATGCTGTGAGCCTCCTGGGCAGAGGTACAGCTTATGCATGGCTACCGCTGGGGCAACTATCCAGTGTGCTGGGGGAACTGGAGGAGCTGGCAGCCCCCAGCTCTCTGCCCGGACATCTCATACTGAGGACCCTCTTGCAGACACAAACGAGTGCACTGAGTTCCCCTTCATCTGTCCCCGGGACAAGCCCATGTGCATCAACACCTATGGCGGGTACCGCTGTCGCAGCAACAAGCGCTGCAGCCGGGGCTTTGAGCCAAACGAGGATGGCACAGCTTGCGTGGGTGAGTGATAGCTGGGACACCCTGACCCCATGCCAGCTGGCATCAGCCCCAAGCACCACCTTGGGATGCTGTCGCACCCTGACAAAGGCCAGGCCATAGCCTGCAACCTGTGGGATGGCACCCAGCCACCTCCACCCTGCTTCTGTGTCTGTCCGTGCCTCCCACTAAGCTGCTACTGACTCCCCTTCTCTTTCTCTTTTTCTCTCTTGTTCCTTCTCTCCTTCTCTGTGCAGCTCAAGTGGCCTTTTTTGGGGGATATCCCTCTGCTGGGAGCTGGCCTGGGCTCCCCCACAGTGCCCTCCTCCCTCTAGTCCTCGGACTCTGCCTTTGTCTCTATGCACTTTAACCCCTGCCCATAACATGCCAGAGCAGCCTTGGTGGAAGGATGGGCTGGCCTCTGCCTATCTCTCTTTTTCTGTCCATGTTGAACCACCCTGGAAGTACCGGCTGGGACATACTGGGGTGACCTGCAGTGGGATGGGCACAGACCTGGCTGTCCTGTGCACCAGCTCTGGGAAAGCAGCCCTGGGGCAGCCTGGCAGTGCCCCTTCCCTCCCACACCCCACTGCCCCAGTGCTATCCCTGCCATGCTGGCACCTCCCCGGTGGTCTCTTGCTCCGTCACCTCGATACCGTACCATGTGCCTGCTGGTTTGGCCTGCGACGTGTGTGCTTTGCCTGCCCCCTCTTCGGTGACGGGAACCACCTCCCCAGCCCTGCAGGGGCAGGATCCTCCTGGTCTGTTTTATAACGTATTGACCCTACTGTTTGGAGTTGGACCCTGCTTAGTCCCAACAGTCTTCCACCCTCTCTCCCAGAGAACCCCAAATAAACTATATCCCATCTATTAACCTAATCTGCTGAGCTCGGCAGGGTAGGGCTGTGCTTGTGCTACTGCCCACCCTGCCCTGGGGCTGCACGGGGAGGGAACCCAGGAGGGGAAGCATTCCCAGCCTAACCCACCTCTTCCCACCCCGGGGCTGGGAGCTGGCTGGAGGGTAATGGTGCCCCTGGCCCAGATCTGCACTGGGACCACAGCAAAATGTGCAGCTCTGAAGGGGCTGGGGTGCAGCAAGCAGCCCCAACAACAGGGCTGTGCTGCTTTCCCCCCCTGTATGCTAAAACCACACACTGCTCTCTTTACCCCTACCAGACATCGACGAGTGTGCTCAGGGCTTGCACAACTGCAGCCAGCTCTGCACCAACACCCCTGGGGCACACACCTGCCTCTGCCGCCCAGGCTTTCGTCCCCTTGATCCGGCTGCCAGCCGGTGCCTGGGTGAGTACTTGCAGTGCCCAGCCACCTGCCCCTGCCAGGCTGCCCTGGCAGCAGGCAGGATCAAGGTGCCCAGTTGTGCTCACAGCCCTAATGCTGGGGGACAGAATGGACAGATGGACAGACTGTGACTGTGCAGGAGTTGGTGGAGTAAGGACATCTGCCACCCAGCAACTTTGGCACCAAGCAATGGCAGGATTACTTGCCTTTGTGTCCCAGGTTCACCCAGCCCTGGAGCTGCCCCTCTCATGCCCCCTCCATCCCTTGTCCTGCTCATGCCAGACACTCCCTGTACCCTTGGCACAGCTCTGACTTTTTCCTCTTCTTTCCCAGACATAGATGAATGCCAGGCACAGCCTGGCCCCTGCGACCATATCTGCCACAACAGCCCTGGCTCCTTCCACTGCCACTGTCACCACGGCTTCTCCCTGGGTGCTGGTGGACGCTGTCAGCACAATTAGCCTTCTCTGGCACAGCAAGGTGTTCCCTGCTACCCCCCAGCACTGTGCTGGTACCAACTGAATAAACCCTTTCCTGCACTGTATTCCTTGTGTGTCCCTCTCCCAGGGCCACATGATTTCTAGACAGATCTATCCCTACTCCCCTAGACTGCCTCCTCTTCCCCATCCCCTCCCTTCCCCCATGCTCATCCTTGTGGGGCTCTGTGCAACCCGGTGTGTGCCCTGACAGTGTTGTCCCACTCACCTCTCCAACACAAGAAGATGCAGGGTAGGCAGTAGGGGAAGAAGCATGGGGTTTATTGAGGAAGGTCTCCATGCAGGGGGCGTGCTCCAGCAGGAACTTTGAGGCCAGGGCCACCCCACAAACCCATCATGACTGAGCCAAAAGGAGTTCCACAGGGCAGAGCCCTCCCTCCAGGTCCCCAGGAGAGAAATGCCGACTTGGTTCAGCCCTGTACCCAGATAGGAATTCTTCTCCTCGGGGTGCTGGATGTCACAGGGACCCTCCTATTTCCCCCTATCTAACTCTGGACCATGAACCTCCACATCTTGCTGCCAAGCTCAGATGCCCCTCGAGGTCCCCTCTTAGAGGCCAGGCTGAGAACTGGGGTGCTGGTGGCAGATGCATGCAGGACACGTGGGCAGGGAGGGACTCATCGGTGTGAGAGGAAGGGTCCTTATGGAGCTGCTCCACTGGGCACCCTCCCTGCATTAGGGCAGGTCATGGGGCAGAGTAGGCAGAGAGCTGCTGGCAGCTGGGTACAGACAAACTCTGACAGGACTGGGCAGGGAGCCTGCTCACCCATGCCACAGCTCAGCCTCAACTGTGCCAGGCCATGAATGAGCCAGGGACCATGGCACAGGGGCAGCATCATGCCCACCACTGTACCTCTCTGGCCTGGACACTGGGCTGGAGAAATACCTGGGTCCAGCTGGGGATGGCAGCAGGTCATGCAGGGAGCAGAAGCAAGTGCCCAGTGTCATGGCAGTGAAGGATGCTGCTGGAGAGGATGAAGTGCCAGACGGGGAAGGGGGCAAGGAGAGCAGCAATGGGGCAGCAGATGGAGCAGAGCTGGGGTGAATGCATAGCCCATCATGCAGAAGCGGCAGCAGTGCATTGCCAGGCCCCCTGAACGGTGGACAAGCAGCAGCTGAACCCACACCACAGCACTAAGAGTAGGGTGCCCCAAGTGGGGGGTGCAGCAAGAACGGTCAGTGTCTGTGGGCGTGGGGTTAAGGGTAAGTGTTCGTCCCCTGCTAAGCGCTGCCTGAGGCTTTGCCAATCCCAGTGCTCCCCAGTGCGTGGCGACAGGGACACTGCCAGCTGGGACTGCCCGTAGCGGGGCAAGCTCCTTTCTCTTGCTGCAGGGACGGCAGCACCAAGCACATGGAGGGCTATAGGAGCCCCTTGGCAACAGTTCAGCTCAGTGGGAAGCACCTGGGATGCCCCAGCACCAGTCCCTGCCCACAGTGGGTCCAAGCAGGGGCAGACCCACTGCGGGGGACAAAGAGCAGATGGGGGTGGGCAGCCCCACTGCGTAGCCCCGGCCTCCCCCTCCTGCTCTCCCCGGGCTCAGAAGCGGGTGCTCTGGTAGTGCAACCTGCGGAGCTCGGAGAGGCCACTGTCCCGGCAGAACGAGTCCCTGCAGGGACCCCCTGCCAGTCACCGGCCCCCCGCGCCGCCCCCGCCGCCGCCGCTGCTGCTGCTGGAGCTGCCGCTGCTGGAGCTGCCGCTGCTGCACCGGTCCTCGTAGATGGAGATCTCGATCTGGGCCCTGCTAAGGATCATCGGTGATATGTGCCAGCTCGATTACCCTGCACCCACGCCCAGTCTCCCTTCACCCTTGCCATCCTCCAAGCACCCCACTGCCAAAAGGATACAACCCTCATGCCACGCTCCAGGGGGTCAGTGAGCAGCAGCCCCCGTGGAGCATAAATCTTCTCATTCTGGTCCTGGATGTACTTGGAGATCTTCTTCAGGACCTATCAGCACAGGGAGGGACACTCAGGGTCTGCCAACATTGCTGTCTACTCTGGCCTCCAGTCCCATGTTCCTTGTGACACCCCTGAGCCATCCCTGTGCCCATCCCTGAGCCTTCCCCTGCACCTCAGCACCTTCTCATAATGTGTCTCCATGCAGAGAAAGATGAAATAGGCAGTGGCACAGGCCAGGCACCCCTCGAGGTATGAACTGCCCCCAATCTTCTCTGCCTCAGCGTAGAAGCCATTTAGAGTTTTCACAGTTTCCTCAAAAAGTTGCCGCTCAATCTAGGACAAAAACCAAGGTGAAAAGGAGTCTGGCCAGGGACTGGCTCCCTGCACCGTCTTGTCCCCATTCCTGAGGAGAGCACTTAACCCTCTCCTCCCTGCCCAGCTGATGCCTCAGCTTGCAGGACCCTGCCCACCTCCCACCCTGAGACCAAGACGTGCTGAGCCTGCAGCCTTCACCAGAGCCTCCCAGTCCCCAGGAGCACCAGAGCCCTTGCACACCAGCTAAGGCAGCTGTGATTTCATGCACCCAGCAGCACTGGCTGGCCCAGGGCCATACAACACCCCAGAAGTCCCCACACCTTTAGACCCTTCTTCTATCTGAGCCCCCATAGCACACTGACATAGGGCATCCCCCCACCCTGACAAGCTCTCAGACTCCCTACCCGGCTCTCCAGCTCAGGTGGAAACTTTGTCTGGAACTGGCATGTGGTCCCATCACTGTAATCCCGCTGCACAAAGACCTTGGTGGCCAGGGACGCGCTGCGCCGCAGCTCCTGCAGGCTGTGCACCTGGGGACAGAGGGTGAGACAGGGGGGCTGCAGCCAGGGATGCTGGGCATCCCTGCTGGAGGTTTGGAGGCCAGGGGAGCAGCGCCATTTCCCCAGTGTCAGGGGCTGCAGGCTCACACACACCAGGGCAAGGAGCACAGCTTGGTGCTGGAAGTGCGAGGTGAGGGGCGAGGGTAGGATGGCGGCAAGGGGAGGATGCTGTGGCAGCCGCCTGCTTAGAATGAGGATGAGTGCGTGTGCTCTCGTCCCGGGCTGGTGTGTGGTCTCACCCTCAGTGGTTCCTGCAATGCACGAGCGTTCATCGCCAGTGGGCCACGGCCCGAGAAGGGGACAGCGCCCTGTCCCCAGCTGTGCCCCAGAACACAGCCAACACAACAGCTCCCAGTCGAGAGGATGGGAGTGAGCCGAGCAGGAGCAGGCACTGGGCACTGGGCAACAGTGGCACAGTGGGTGGGCAGGCTGCAGTGGGGCATCTTCAGGAAAAGGACCGGCAGCCACGGCAGCCGGTGCTGAGCCCTGATTCCCCACAGGGTGTGAGAACTCGTGCCAACCCCCGAGCTCCAGGTTGTGAGGCAGCTTTGGTGGCTGGAGAAGAGGATGGAGGTGCCTGGTTGTGCCAACGGCAGGCATCAGGCCCCTCCCTGCGCTTCCCCTGGGTAACATGGGGCTATTGCCTGCTCTGTGCCCCACAGCCCGTCTGACGCTCACCCGCGTCCCACCCACGGCGTCTGGGAGAAGAACCCCCAGTCCCATAGCTCAACCCAGACACGCTCCAGCCTTCACCAAAGGCACCCTGCACCACCCTGCACCCCCACACCCCTTCAGGCACCTCACCGGCCTTTCTGTGCCCATGGAGTCCCCAGCCCCACACTCCCCTCCCCACGGACCCCAGCCCCACGCTGTCCCCTCGCAGCAGCGCAGCCCCCGCGGCCGGACCCCGGTCCCTGCCGCGCCCAGCCGGGGCAGCGCAGGGCGGGGGAGCTCCGCCGCAGCCCGGCCCGGGGGTGCCGCCGCCGGGTGTCCCCGCCGTGCCACCGCGCACCCACCTCCGTGGCCATGGCGCGGCGGGCGCCGGGCCGGGCTGTGCCGCTCCGGGGGGACCGGACCGGACCGGCTCCCTGTGCGGAGCCGCGCGGGGCCGGGCGCTGTCCGCGGTGCTGCCGAGCCGAGAGGCGGAGGCGGGCCCGGCCGCCCCGTGTGCGCAGCCGCCCGGTCCGCCGCGGCCCGCCCCGAGGCACCGGGGATGGGCGCTTGCCGCTACCGGCACGGAGCCCCTGGAAGACGCGGCCCCGGTGCTGCGGACGGAGTAACCGGCTGCCCTGGGGCTGGCCCCGGAGAGGGGCTGCGAGGGAGGGATGCTGCCGTGCGTCCCGGGGGTCTGACACGGCGAGTGCCGGAGCCCGGATCTCTTTGGGATGCGGCTGTAGGTCCCTGGGGGGAAACCTGGCTGCCCAGGGGGAGCTGCCGGAGGTAGCAGAGGGTATGAGCGGCCGTGAGGCTGGCCCAGCAGGGATTTGGAGAGTCGACCGTGGGACTGGCAGACCGCCGTGCCAAGGGGCCTCATCTGAAGCTGTTTGTTTGCGAAGGAGTTGCAGCTGAGCAGAGCGCGGGCAGACATCAAAGAGCAGAGCTACCGAATTCCCTGTTATCTCTGCCCATTGACAGCTCAATTGGAGCCGGAGAAATGCCAAACGGGGGGAACAGAGGCTCTCCCGAGAGGCGAAGAAGGGGGGCTCCCAGCCGGGGCTGTAGTGGGGAGAGGGATGCAGTAGCTGGGCACAGGGCCCTGAGCAGGCAGGAGAGCAGCCAGCCTTTCCCTCAGCCCCTGGGCAATGCTGGGGGCAGTGCAGGGTCCTGCTGGAACGTCTGCTCTGGCAGCGAACATGGCTAACACAGCTAATACACAGCTAACACACAGCTAACACTCAGTTAACACACAGCTAACACACGGATAACACACAGATAACACACAGCTAACACACAGATAACACAGCTAATACACAGCTAACACACAGCTAACACACAGCTAACACACAGCTAACACACACAAACACACAGATAACATACAGATAACACACACAGCTAACACACAGCTAACACAGCAAACATGGCATGGCCAGCTGCCTGCAGCACAGGGGTATCTATGACTGACTCCTGCTCCCTGCTCTGAGCACCAGCCCAGGCTTTGGGCAGGGCAAATAGAGGCAGGACCTTGGGGTGGTTGGTAGGCAGCCTCCTTTCTCCAGAGCATAGCAGGGTTTGTGACCAATGGACTAAAGGACACAGGCAGTCAGGGACCCCAG